GGAGGCTGAGAGCCACGGGTGCAGCACGGGTCCTGTATGGTGCGGAAGGGGCTGTGGGGTGCCGGGGAGGGGGAACCTATACGCAGCACCCACAACTGCCAGGCTGTCTGCACGGTGGCAGAGATGGTGGGTTGGGTGGCCCCCTTCTGTCCTGCCAGTTTCCCTTAATTTAACGTGTGCTTCAGTTGTGTTTCTTCTTGTGGGTTTGCAGTCTCATAGGTTGTCTCCATGGCAGCGATCTATTCGGGGATCCACCTGAAACTGAAGAGTGCTAAGACTTCCTGGGAAGACAAACTCAAACTAGCTCGTTTCGCCTGGATTTCTCACCAGTGCTTTCTTCCTAATAAAGAGCAAGCAAGTGCTTTTTGATGATAAATGCGGGGGGGGGGGAGCAATAATTAATTATTTCTGAGGATTAACTGGTTCATAAAAGCAAGACCAAATTGCTTAATCCTTTACCTCTAGACAGTAGCACAAATGTGGTGTTAGTGGTGAGTGATGGACAGTTCTTTATTTCTGCAGTGTTTTCATAACACTGGTTTTGAGTTGCTTCAATAGAAAGAGCTCCATTAGGATAGGAAGAAATACTCTTTCCTATAGAGAGGGTAGGGTGTGTGCCACCTCTTGGATAAATGGGAAACCACCATCTTCAGAGCTGTCATTAGCATCTTTTATTTTATCCTCTACAGGACTTTAAAGCCATTGTCAACTGCTTCCTGATGCTTCTGGTCACAGTTAAGAACAAAAACTTGGGGTGGGAGAACGGAATGTAACTAGATATGTGTTTCCTGACGCTCTGGACTTGTGCATTAGGAAGGAGTGCACTCTGAATTTGTGGACTTTTCCACGGAAGGTGGTTCAATGTTGTCTGCTTGGAAACCACCCCCACCAATCTCCTCTTCAGTCTTTTGTTTTGACCCTGTTTCCTGAAGTTTTGTTCTTGGCCTTTTTCTGCTTTTGCCTCAGCTAGTTAATTGTTGTGCAATCTTTTCAGTGGTCTGCTAATTACTAGCTGAGGTATCAAATGTGATAGTGTTTCTCTGGAATGCTTAGAACAGGAAAGTCCTTAAGCATATATAAAATATATATGTTGTTGTATTGCATGATTTAAACAACGCGTAAAATGTTCTACCAGATATGTTTGTCTAGAAACAACTCTGTTACATGAACGGTAATTTTAAGATTTTGGTGTATGCTTCTTAATTCTAGAAATCTTTTTAAGAGAGTACTTTGAATGTGTGTTCTTTAAGAAAAATCTTATTTTCCATCTGTTTGTGCATTAGTTTCTCACAAAACTTGCAATCATTTTCAATGGTCTAATCATTTTGAATTTTGGAGGCTGCAAAAGCCTTACCGACTTTGCTAGTGAAGATCAGAGTTTCTGTGGGTGGAGGAGTTTGATTCCCTGGTTTGTCCTGTGCTGTTCCTCCTTCATACCAGGAGTTTTGTGTGACCTTAGAGTTTACATCCTCTGAGATCAGTGTTTTGAGTTCCTAGAGTTTCAGTGACTTACGATATAAAAATTAGTCATATGCCATAATTTTATTACGAAATCAATAGTTTAAATCAATGTTTGTTTGTTGGTTTTACCTTTTCCAGTTTGCACATATGTAAATCCCTAGGCCTGAATTCCTAAGTAGTACATTTAAACCTGCCAAGAATAGGATGTGAAAGGTACAGCAATTGTCGGAAAGCAAAATCCGTCTGATTTTTAAGGTCTTTGATTCAAAAGATCATCTTTACTAATTAGTATTGAGCTTCACACTTATACCTGCTCCTGGGGGAACTAGTGAAAGGATGGTAGGATGTTGACTCCTGAAAACTGTTTTGTGAAGGTGCAGGGGAGCAGAATCAAAACCGAATTTAGCATAAAAGGACTTAAAAATGTAGGTCTTGATTGCAACCTGCAAGGGTGGACTTCTTTGCTTGTTCAGAGCCCCTTCTGCTTGGATAGCGCGGTTCTTGGAGCATGATCGGTGCTGTAATTGGGAAGAGGCTCCTAGTTTTGTTACCTTTTCATATGGGGGTTATAAAAGATCTCTCCTTTTGTCTCCTGTTAACAGGTATTACTGGACTGGGTAAGCCATACTTTGGTTTCATACTACAGCAAGAAACTTGAACTGGAGGATGAAGTTGTTGAGAAACTCTGGACATATCTAGACAATGTTATCCATAGTAAAAGACTTCAGGATCTTTTAAAGAACGGAAAGACCATCAATCTCAGTTTTTCTATCGCACAGGTAACTAAAATTATGGCCATTTTGTAAGATACTGGGTAACAGTGCGGTATCTGCTGCAATATGCAACTCTTCCTCTCAGTATAGGGAGTTACATGAAATACATAATAATTAACCTCATGCTTTTAGGATGTTTACTGATAGAACCTCTCTCTTTCTCTACAGCAGTATAGTATATACTTGTGCAGAACTAAAACTGAAAGTGGTAGAGCTTTCCAAGAAAACCTCAAACTTCACCTGTCTGTCTGTCTTTGAATTCTGCAGACTGTCAGAGAGGGAACTGGTTTAAGTATTTCGGTAGATAAGTAGAGACTGAATTCCATATGTTGCTCTTGTGTTTAATTTACTCTCTATATTACCATTGTGCCTAGAAGTCTTGGTGAGAGAGAGATTTTTCCCTTGCTGTGGAGCTCATCAGCATGTTTGGCTTGAGTACATGTGTACTGTGAGGTGCTGTTCAGCAGACCCTGCCTAGGAACTTGCAGCTGCTTTTGATTACTCTAAAGGAGCCATTGCTTTGATTTCCCCTTCTCCACGGAGCTAGGTTCCTCTCTCCCCAGCAGTCCCACTTCCTGTACTGTCATATCTATGTGTATGCCTCTCTGGGCTATCTGTGTATGTGCAGGTAGGTACATGGGAGAAGATCGAAGGGGGCTTCAACTGTTACTCCCTTGGCACGTGTCATGTTTGTGGCACAGCTCTCCCCATTTTCTCTTCTTTTGTGGAACCCTGCATGCTAGACTTGTGAACCTGGAGAGAAGTTACCATGCTGTGCTGGAAGTATGAACAGTGTTCACAGATGGAAGTCTGACGGGGAAGCAGGAAATGTTTTTTGTCAGCTGAAATCCTGTTGGTCCCACAGCTTTCCATTTTAAGCGTTATGTTACTCAGTGTGAGTTGAATTAGAGCAATTCAGTGGTGACACCAAATCTTTACTGGCCTGAGCTGAAGATTAATGGAGATGTCAGTTATAGTTTAACTTGGTCCAGAACTGAACCGCAACATGCAATTCCTTATTCGAGGTCCTGGTTACAGAAATGGCAGAGTTAGTGGATGGCTGCGAAGGCAGCCAAAATGGCAAGGAAAATAGCCTTTGTGGTAGTGCTCTGGATGGACAGAAGTAGGGCAAGACTGGTTTCACCTGCAGGAATCTGTGATGAGGTGCAGAGAGCTGGTTGGATGAAAGGGGCTGTGCTTCAGAGGTGTTACAGAGATAGCGTACTAAATTTTAACTTGGCCTGGACGTGGAGTCTGGTCTGATTACAGATAGGTAGCGAGCTACAGGCTAGAGTACTCTAATGACCAAGGAGGAAGGTGACAGGGAAAGTGCTGTGGAAAGGATTTAGAAATCTGTTGTAGTACAGTAGACCTTGAGTTGGGGAGATAAACCGTCTACTAGGAGGTGCCAAGGAGACAGCTGAGGTTTTAGTTATGGAACAGAGGCAGATTTGTAGATTGTCATTTAATTTGTTTCCTGACAAGATTATGTGGAAGTGAGAAAAGGGAGCAAATAAAAAAGGAGATCCAAGGAGAAAACCTTGAGAAGAGGAGGGGAAACTGACATTCAAGTAAATGTTAATTCTTTAGAACAGTGTATCTGTTACAAGAGGAGAAAGGACAGTCCCTTCAGGTTCCAGATTTCAGCACAGGAAGCCTGGGCTCTTCTTAGACCGTAAAGATGATATTTAGTCATGGGCATTCTTGCTGAATAAGTGTCGTGGACCAAGGGTAGGAAGTAGGGTGGTGGTTTTGTTTGTTTGAGGGGGGAGGAGAGGGAGTCATTGCAGGGACCTTGCAAGGAAGGAGGGAATATCCCTTCCTCCCTGTCTGCAGGACTAGCCATTAGGTTCAAACGTGCATAGTCTCTGCTGTTGTCAGTAGCAGTCATACTGAAAGAGAGCTTCCTCATGCATCCTGTGGTGCAGACGAACGCAGGGACACTATTCTTGCCAGAGGAGCTTCTAGTCCAAGATGTACAGCACAGGAGGCCCAGCAGTGGCCGTTGACAGATCTCTGTTCCTTCCCCCTTACTGCCAGAGCTCACAGAAAATGATGTGGCCGCCTTGTGATGAGCTTGATGTTTGCGTGCAAAATTGACTGTGGGTTTGTTTGTTTGTTTGTTTGTTTTTTCCAACCTTCAGGTCATAAACGAAAGGTTGTCGGAGTTCTGTTCTCAAAAAGCACAGCAAAACATTGGCACGGTGCTGAGTTGCTCCAGTGGTATCCTTTCTACTCCTTCGCTCTCCATTATTTACACAGCTAAATGTGAGCTTTTGGTTGATCTCCTCAGCAAGCTGTGTGAGCTGGCTTGTCAGCAGCTGGCTTGTGATGATGCTGTGGGCGCCCAGCTGTTCAGCATTCTGCAGCTTACCTTTGCTCAGTACCTCCTGATCCAGAGGCAGCAGACCAACCCAAATCGTGTGTTTGGGCAAGTGACAAGCCATTTGCTCCAGCCCTGTCTGCTGCTGAGGCACTTGCTGATTGTGAGGAACTGGACGCAGGCAGATGATAGCCATGTGCGTCAGCACTGGAGCAGGGAAATCCGAAACCAAGTAGAGACTCTGCTGCAGGCTGGACTGTTCCAGCCTGAGCTCTTCTCATCCTACAGAGAGGAGCTGCTGCCAGAACAGGAGCCCCAGGAGAAGAAAAAAGGAGCTTTGAAAACTCTCTTGCTACCAGTTGACACACTGCAGACCAAGCTGGGCAGTGGCTTTTGTGAACCTGCGCTCCATGGGGCTGTTGTGGCAGGTTCGGTGTCCCTGCTGTATAAGCTCTTTCTGGACTCTTACTGTAAGGCAGAAAACCACCTTGTGTGCTTTCAGCAGGCTTTTTGACTGTCTCAGGCTCTCTGGCCTGCAGCAGGGTGTGAGGGAGGATGTGCTCTCCCCTGCAGACTGGAGCACAGAGCTGCTTGCCTTGGAACAGCTTTTGAACTTGGTGCTTAGCAGTGATATCTACAATGTTGCTAGTGACCGCATCCGGCACAAGGGGATACAGTTTGGGTTTTACCGCAGGCTGGCACAGATGCTGATGAGTCACTCGCAAGCTTCCATCCCTGCTTGGTTCAGATGTCTCAAACTCCTCATGTCATTAAGCCACATGATTGTGGAGCCAGACCTGGGTGACTTAGTGGCCTCTGCTTGGATTGATGCAAAGGCCTCTGAGCCGCGTACAAAGAAGCCTCAGGAGGCTCTTATCGGCACTGTATTTCATACTTATTCCAAGCTGCGTCAGTTCCCACGGCTCTTTGAGGAGGTGCTGTCAGTCATTTGCCAGCCAGCTGCTAATGAACTGAGGATGCCTGTCTTGTCTGCTGGCCTGACAGCCAAGCTTCGTGAGTGCCTCCTTGAGCTGCCGCCCAACCAGATTCTGGACATTGTGTGTCTCTTAGTGGAGAAGTGCCAGACTGTTATCATTCCTGCAGTTGAAGGCGATTCTGACATGGCCTTGAAGCTGATGTCGATCAGCTCGGTGCTGCACGCTTTTCTGTTCAACGTGAGGAGCCTAGATGATGTCACTCCTTCCCCTGTGGTCCTTCGCACTCAGAGTCTGTTGGCAAAGATACAGAAGGGAATAATCCAGCCACTGCTGGAACTGCTGCAGGCTAGGGGAGAGGAAGAGAAGCCAGAGCTTTGGTTAAGGAAGACCAGTGACTCTGCTCTGCTCCTTGTTTACACTTGGGTTGAAGTAAACACTTTGTTTGGTATTAGCTGCAGTAAATATGTGTCTCCATCAGCTGAAACTGCTGTTACTGCATCTACTGGAAGACACTGGGGCGTTTCAGCTCTCCTCCCTGGTGTGGAGGAACAGTGTTGGGAGAAAGTCATGGCGCTCGCAAGTAGTTTTGCCTCCGCTAGTAAATATTGCTTAGAACTGCTCACACTCCAGAAAATGAAGATGATCTTAATGCAGGCCAAGGCTGATCCCCAGGCCTTGCAGCATGCTGCAGCTTTCATCCTGGAGACTGGGAGATCCAGCATGAACAGGGGAGAAATTGAACCGTGGGATGGAGATATAAGTGCAATAAATGATCTCACCTACCCCACAGCACACTGGCACCTTGTCCTCTCCAACCTGACTATTTTATTGCCATATCTTTCCTTGAAAGATGTAGAGTACGTTGCCAACGTGCTTCTGGAGACGTTAGTATTGGCCAAATCTCAAGAAGTTAATGGAGACCAGGAGCCTTTCGTTAGCATTGGAAAGGTATCTCTTGGTTTAATGCATAGTCCCTTTCTCCCAGAAATGAGGGTCTTGCATTGTGCTTTTCTGAGCAGCCTTATTCATCAGTTCAGTAAGGTGCTACACTCCGCTGCTACCGGTTCTGTAGATCTGCCACTTCAACAGCTGTCTGCAGATAACATCCCTTGGCATGAAGAGATCCTGGCTCCTTGCGAAACTGTTGAACTGCTGGTGGGGGCACCATCAGAAAACAAACTGCAGAAGGATGAACTCAGTTTGTCTTGGAAAACGCTGGAAGAAGTTGCCCAGTGTATATTACTGCTAGCAAAAAACAATTCTCCTGTCATCCTGAAAGAAGGTCAGCTAGAAAGCTGTTTGGGTTTGCTAGAAATTACTTCTCTTCTGAAACTAGACAGTCTTTTTCCCTCAGACTGTGTCCGGTGTTTTCTCTTGCTGCTGTCCTTGGTAGCCAATACTAGGGCTAACGTCTCTTGCGGCAAGCTGTTATCGTTGAAGTTTTTAAGGACCTGCTTCTACCTTCTGAGGTGCCTGCAAGCTGGTCGGAATGCCAACTCCGTCTTTAAGGTTTTTCATGCCAGCGATGCTCTCGAGGCTGTAATGACCTCCCTGCTTACAGCTAGCAAGTTCTTCACTGATGTTTTGACTGATCCTGCCTGGGCAGAGTGTCTCCAGGAAGCTCAGACCTTTTTGGAGCACTTTCTTCAGATGATTGTTGAGCGACGACAAAGCGTGAGACTCAACTTGGAAAAGTTCCTGTCTTTTTTGGTGAGCTGCAAGCCAGATGTTGGTGCAGCCAGAAATAAATGCTGTAAAAACTGGAATCCTGCAGCTGGGCAGCTGCTGCTCATGGCATTCACCACACTGTGTCACGTCCTCACGCTCTACCTTCAGCATCAGCCAGAGAAGAAACTGCAGTCTGCAGATGTGCTGTCTGCTTTGTTGGAGCCAGCAATTCTGCAGATGGGAAGAGCTGTTGAACGTAATCTTCAGAGCAACATGCAAAACCAGCCTTTGCCTATAGCATTCATACCATCTGTCACTACTCTTCTCAAGGCAGATCTGAGCTGTGCCCTCAATAAAGAGGGATGGCAGAAGAACCCTAAAGAGCCCCATGGATTTTTGGAGCGTCCTCGTATTACACTGTACCAAAAGTTTTACTCTCAGATCCTGAGAGAGCTGCCCTGTGCAGGAGGTCATCTCCAGTTCCTTCGGTCTGCCTTGCAGTTCTTAAGTGTCTTCTGCTCAGTACCGGATCTGTCTCCTGGAAAAGAAACTGCAGTAACTGTGGTTTATGCTGTTAAAAAGCTTCTTGCTGGTATGAAGGCTTCCTTTTCCCACTGTCTTTGCTAATTTTGCTCTGCAGAGGAGAGTTAAAAGTCCTTTATAGAATTTTTTTAAAAAGTGTATGTTTTGTATATCTGTCTGCTTGTGTTAACCTACTGCGTTGTGCTTTTTTTCTTTCTTTCTTTCTTTCTTTTTTTTTTTTTAGATAGCCAACAGGAAAGTTTTCACAGCGGTCCTGTGGTATCTGGACCACAGCAGCCATCTAATTTGATATGGGTATCCTGAAAGATCTTTCTAAATATCCATGGATTCTGCATTCTGTGGTTATTTTTCTTGCATAATACACTACAGGGAAGGATAACTTTTTCTGCTCATCTTGGAACTCTATTTCCAGTAGTAGCTTAGGGGCTGAAGTACCTGGCTTTCCTCCGTCTCTGACCTTTTCTGTTACGTAGTGAAAGATTTTTACAGGTACTTGTGCAGATGGTCATACCAGTTTTGGATGTCAGGGTGGGGAAGTTGTCCCTGGTTCTCTGAGATTATAATATAGCACTCAGTAAATAGAGCTGAGTTCCTCATTGCCTCATGCCTGTAAAGCCTTCTAACAATAACCGAAATGTGGTAGTACCTCCAGAGGCATGACTGAGGAAGCGCTGTTCTTACTCTCGTGTGATGGGTATAGTAGTCTGCGCTGAAGCAGCTGATGTGCGTTAGCTCACATCATCTGACGTGTCTCACTTGAGGACGTCAGAGGAATTTACAAACATAGATGGGTATTTTGGTCTATATCTGACAGGTGAGGATATTCAAGAAGGGAAGTCATGTGACTATCAAGGGTGCTGAATATCCGTAGTTCTGGTAAAGTCTGTGGGAAACTGGCACATCTATCCCTCTGTCCCTGTCAAACAGGGAGCCAGGGCTAGAAATGGCATGAAAAACCTTTTCTTCTTGCTAGCCTTGTGGCATAATGGCTCCCTTGTATTGTCTTGTTCAAAATGTGAGATGAACTGATTACTGCAGATGAGATGTACCACATGACTATAACTATGCGCTTTGCCTTTTTTGAACGGTTGGACTTTGTCTTGCTTTTACTATGCTGTAGCATACTACTGACATTCTTTCAGATTTTATGTTGGCATGAAGTAGTTGAGTCTAGAGCACAGCTCTGCATGGAAAATCTGATCCTGAACTTGCACAGTTCAGTTTCAGCTAGAACCATTACATATAGATACAGGGTTGGTCTGTCTCTCCTCTGGTCTGTGTTTTGATCCTCCAGGGTTTTGGGGTTCAGTACGGGGCAGTGTGAGAGCAGGGATTCTACAGTGGGACTAAGGACCATGAGCAAGCTTCAATTGCCATAATTTTTTTTTTTTTTGCTAATTTCTCTCTGTTGCCCTGTGCTTCACTTTACTAATGTAAGACTGGTAAAGTCCTTTAGCCTGGGGACATAATTAAGCACTGTAAAAAGCTGTAAGAATTGCTGATGCGTATGTAAGGTATTAAATAAGTGAAAATATGCATTCTTGTTGAAGACGACTTTTCAGCGTTGCCACAGAGCCTGTGGGCACTTCCAGAACTGAAGACTAAGACTGCAGAACATGTCAAAATTGTAAGCTAGTCTAGACTCGAAAGATAGTAATAATTTATAAGTGGGGAGTATGGCTTATGATCAGCAAAAACCTGAACTTTGTCAGCTAAATGCCTTTAAGACTTGTGATGGCTCTCTGGTATGAAATACCTGAGAACAGCACCCTAGTATTCCTCACCCTAGTAGGGAGGAAGGTGAAGGGAAAGCGTGAGGCAATCTATGCATTGAATTCTTGAAAAGATACCTACAGAGCTGTTCTAAGCTTTGATTATTTTTCTCCTGTTCTTTCTTATGCTAGTCCCTGTCTTGTGAAGTGATTCAAACATGTTGTGTCTCTTGAACATGCAGGTTCTGAGATCACAGTGCAGGTGATTCAAAATTTAGAGATGGAACTGACAGAGGTACTTGTCCAGCTGTTAGGAAACTGCTCTGCTGAAGAGTTTTATGCCATAATGAAGCTCGCGCTACAGGGACTTGAAGTGAGGAATATTTGGCAGCAGAACGCTCAAGTAAGGAATGAGTTTTGGTTTGTTTTTGTCGTGCTTTTCTTCAGTTTTCTATATCTGGAAAAACTGCGTTAGCTGTATGACGTCTGATAAATATGTTTTCCTCTTCCCGCTTTGTATTCAGCTGTCAGGTAGAATTAACTTGCATGGCTAAGGGCTTGATGACTGTGCTGAAGTATGCTGTTGACATAAATTAAGACAGGTAGAACACTCTGTGAAAGACTATGGCAGCTTTTGGTTATGGAAAAAACCCTCTGTCCTGTTTAAGGACTTAGCAGTTCTGAATTCATGTATTGTCAACAGAAGTCACTTGGGATATGGTCTTATAGGCCATGCTGAAAATATTTTTTCTGCCTGGTGATCAGAGTTCTTGTGCAACGGACACTAGCAGTCAGTGAGTTTAACCACGATTTGTCTCTGGCTCTTCAAAACAGGGTTAAAAGGCATGCTACTTTTAAAATGCTAGCAGGTCTCTGAAACCTAAACTGCACCCATGTTTTCAGTGTTTGGCTCTTTAGACTCTTACTCTGTAATAACCAAGCACCGTTCAGGAGTTTTTTAAATAGTGCACCTTTCTCCAGGAAAGCTTAAGCAGCAGGAGTAACATATGGAATGCCATAAAGGCTGAAAAGCCAGATGTGCCCTGTATAGAAAGCTCAGTGACTTGAGAATGAAACTCATTAAAACTTGAGGGTTTATATAGTTATCGGTATTGATAAGCCACATCAATACCTAATAACTCTTTTGTGAAAACATATCTGGAATTCCTGCACTACTCATATATTCCAGCCACCTGACCCTATAGGTGTTGGAATATGTATGCATGCACTGTGAGGTTGAAATACAGTGATAAAAGACCAACTTGCTTTGTTTTGTAAAATATTTATTTAATCAGTCTGCCATCACAGTTATCAAGTAAATTCCCCCCTGTTGCCATCATAACATTGTTAATGTACCAGTGTTCCTATACTCTCTCTATTTCCCTCTGTTACTCAAGAGGAGTTGAAGGAGGAAGCTTTCCTTTCATAGAAATCACTTAAATATGCCATAAAGGGATTCTAAAATAAATGCAATGAGCAGTGTATTTGGGCAGATGCTGCTCAGCATATTTAATTTTGTTGAGCTGCTAATAATTTCACAGTTCACAAAGAGATGTGTCATAAGAGGGCTTTAATGCGTCAAGGCTTTGGTAATGCCCAAAACTGCCACTGCCCTTGAAAGAGTTCTGCTGTACTTGAAATAAGCGCGTGCCTCTGGTATCCATAACTGATTGTTGGTCTGCTTTCTGCAGGAAGTATTGTCAGCTGTTACTCTAATCAAATTGTTGCTCAGCTGCCCATTAAGTGGAGACAAGGAAAAAGCTTTCTGGTTTGCCAGCCCACAGATAATCACAGCTTTAGCTGTAAGTATCTCTTTATTGTAACTTCATTATCTATCCCTTTTGTTGGTTGGAGTCTGTAGAGATTGTATCTGTAACATACCTTTTTCTTCAGTATTCTTCTGTGTAACTGGACAGAATTTCAGATTCACCTGCACTGTTTAGTTTAGACCCTTTCTATCCTCCTTCCTTGAGTACGTGTGCTGTGAGGGTAGCGTGTAGGTCATCCGCTTCTTATTATTAGGAGTAGCTGTCTAGGACTATGCTGTGTAATCTGGAGCTTGAGAGAGACTTGTTAGGCTGCAGAGAGAGGAGTCTGGGTCTCCTGTCCTTTCCCTTATCCAAAGGAGAAGGAAACTGTCAGCTAGCTTTTGCTGTGACGTAGGGCTAACAGCAGCAAAATGGAGGGAGAAAAGTGCTCACGAAAAGGGGGTAGGGGGTGTCAAAAAAAGCACTGAATTATGAATAGAAAACTTGACTGAAAGTAACCAAAGCCAGGTTTCCCATCCTTGACTGTACAGCATACAAACTTAGCGATGTAGGTTTTCTTCTATCATGGTGGTGGTCTCTCTAGCCTGGAGTTTCTCTCGTGTTGGCTCTGCAATGTCTGGGAGTCTTGAGGATTAAATTTCTGCTCTTTGTGGTGGGTCTGCATGGTGCTTGTGGAGGAGAGAACTTTGGAATCAGTGCATTCGTGTGCGGAGGTGCAAAGATGAGCTGGTTGCTGTAGTCTTTCCTCACCTTTTCTAGGGGACTGGTGCATAGCTCAAAGTCCACACTTAACAGCAGTGCTTGCATGAAATGCAGCATATACATCCTCTGCCTAGTATACAGCTACGCCAGAACCAGCTAAAGCAGAGGCGTCTCCCTGCCACTACAGCTTGCACTAGCGTAGTTTTACTGGCCCAAATCAGAGCATTATGGGTCTCTGGTGTTTGAGCGTTAGTGGTACGTGGGTAACGCATGCCTCGTCTCTGCTTCCTGTCTTCGTGTAGATGCAAACCAAAGAAGCCTGTCAGGACCAAGCGTTGATTTCCACCATAGTTGTACCTATCCTGGAGACCACAGCAGTTCTGCTGAGGCAAGGAGAAGGGGTTCTCTTGAACCCTCACCATGTGGCCTTGGCATTCAACATTCTCCTAACAGTCCCCCTAGATCACCTGAAGACAGAGGACTATGGCAGTGTCTTCCTGGGAGTCCATGAAGTGCTCTTCTCTATTCTGCAGTGTCACCCAAAGGTACCTTTGGGAGGGGTGGGAAGAGGGGAAGAAGGTAGAAAGAACTGAGACAGAGGCCATTTATCAGAAACGGTTTTTTAATACTAGCTTTGAATTAATATGTCCTGGTAGTATCAAAACACTTGCAGCACTTGTCGCTTAAAAGGCTGGGAATCTCAAAATTGTATCGTTCCGGTTGCTCTCCTGCTTTGTTTTTCTACTTGCATTGTTAGAGTCTTTGACAGCAGATGGCTTATAAACCTCTGAGGCTAGATTACGGTAAAACTTTCCAGATTGTTCGTGACCCGGTTCTGGAAGCATAAATGGCTAAGACATTAGGAGTCCAGTCTTACTGGAGATCAAGATTCTGCAGGCCTTTGAAGATAGGGCTGGGACATGTTAAAATTGATGTTCTTCAGACTTTGCACCATCATGGTGTCCTTGTCACCCTGGCATGGGAAAGTGAAGGCATGCCAACACACATGCAAGGCTAAAACTATTCACACAAGGAACATACAGGCAGGGGAGGAGGAGAAAGGAAAGAAAGAGGGGCCTCAGGCATTTGCATGAGGAATGAGAGTGAAGAATGTTAAAGACAGGGAAATATGCCAATTCTAAAAGCAAGGCAGTACACCTAGCTAAAGTGCCCCAACAAAAACACTGTAGTAGAAAGCTTGCTATCCAGGTTGTTTTCATACAATGATCCCTAGTGTTACTGGACCTGTAGTCTATGATCTGTTTAGCTACTCAGGTTCTTGGCCAGCTAGAGCAAATTCCCCAGGCGTGAAGGGACTAATTCAAACACTGCTTAATGGAGATGGGGGTAACTCTAGTGCTGTTTATTTGTTATTTATATTTCAGTACAGCCAGGAGTCCTGCAGCAGGATTCTTGTGTGCTAGGTTCTGTACAGATGCTGGACGGAAAGATATTCTCTGTTCCTGACAGCTATATAAGCTATCTAGCTTCCTTCACAGGACATGAATGTGCTCCGACTGTGGAGTGGTGTACCTCTGCCTTCTTCCCTCCATTTATCACATAATCTCATAATTTCATGTCATTACAGGTTATGTTAAAAGCAGCACCATCTTTCCTGAACAGTTTCCATCGTCTGGTCATTTCTGTTATGCATGAAGGGCGTCAGAAAGGAGACAGAGGTACTATATCTTTTCCACTTACACACTGTATTCTAATCTCGTATATTTTAGAAGACGAGGTGTAGAACAGGGCAGCCTGTGACCCCGCAGGTAAAGTCCCACAACCTAGCTGTGGCACTGAAACCGTTAGCCCTATCTGTACGTAGAAGTGAGGAGAAGCTTTGTAACAGCTTGGGCTTACAGAGATAACTGATGCTTCCATGGAACCGTCTTTGAGAGGATAAGGTGTTCTTCACTGACTGGCTGGCAGATAAACAGGAACCAGTAAGGCTTGCTGTGCCCGGTTTCTGCTCTTCCTACCGACCTTTGCCCCTGAAAGGGGTGTAGTCATTTACAGCATGGTGGCTGTGAACTCCAGAGGTACATGTTAACATGCCTGAGTGACAGCCCCGAGTTGGTCCAACTGAATGGAGCTTCTCAAGGCTAGAAGTGTTTTTACTACAGACCTGATTTTTCACCAGTCTGCGCTAAGCATAAAACCAGGATCTTGCATGTCTGAAGCATCATTTGGGACTAGACGGTATATCTGTATGGTCAAGGAATTGCAATTGTTGGAGCAAGTATGTCAAAAAAATTATTTTTCTTTTACTTGAAGTTGTGAAACAATTCGCGTTGGCCCTGGAGCACGAATGTGCATTTAGCCAAGTGAAAGAGGTTCCCAGTGGTTAAGGTCATCATCCTGTACTTCATCTTTACACTGGCCAGGAAAGAAGTAACCCCATCAGTTATCGTGGTGACGTTTTGAGACAAATGGACTTCATGGCCTGCAATTGGCTGTATGCTAGCTTTCCACTCGTGTCCCACAGCTTATTTCGCATTCAGATTTGTCTCAGCCGACACCGGGGACACAATCCCGTATCCATAACTGTGCACGCATGTACACGTATGCATCATGGGTGAATATGCAAACACGTGCCCAGTAGTAGCAGGGGAAGTATGTTCAACTGGTGCTAAACTCTGAGAATCTACCAAGTTCTGTAATATTATGTGTACATAGGAGAAGGGACATAGGAAACTTGGGTACAGGGCATCCTCAAGTTTAAAGACATGTTGTTTATTTTTGCAGGATTATTTTATTTTCGTAAGTGGTAGCATGAAAGCTATTTTCAGACTTACTTTCTTCTCTGTTTCTTTTCGTTACTCTCATTCACTGCCTAGTGAAAAAGACAGTAAATTCTCAGGTGCTCTCTCCAGTCTGTCTTTGTCTCCAGCGCTGTGGCTTTTGCTGAGATATTCCACATAATAAATGTCAG